AAATGTACTAATCCACGTGCATCAACAAACCACTGAATCCAAGCCCGACCAGAACCGCATTCACTCTTTCTGGTGGGCTGTGCTCTAGTTTTGTAGGTGATTGGAAACAACCGTGTTGGCTGCGTGGTTATAGGCACTGGGATATGGCGCTGAAGGTCGGGAAAGGATTTCCACCGCAGGAAGCCTTCACCGGAAAAGGACTCTGGGTTCAGCTGTAATGTAGCGACGCTTATTGCCTCAGCAAGATGTGTATGAGTGTTTCGCTAACCTATTAATCGACGCATACTACTCTCAAGGGATCAATATCATTTATGGCAGCAGATATGTGCTCGCCTGCGACGAAACAAAATCTGATTCCAGAATCTTTTCAGGTTCGGCCAGAATCGGGTTCGGATTTAGGTCCACTGGTCATTCATCTCATAATCTTATGCCGGTGCCACCAAGCTGGCATGAGCATGAGTGTGTGAAAGGGGTGCAGGGGCAAATTATCACCGATTCAATGTACTACCAGCATTTGGACACCTGCAAAAATATTTGTCATGGGCGATGCAAAGACGAGAAACTGGTCACTATCATCCGGGCCATGGCGCGCGCGGAAAAACACCCAGTTGCATCATCACAACGAAGCAAAAATATCGCCGAGCCGCAAACAAATGCAACGACCCTCTTGCATCGTCGCTAGCAAACCTCACATCGTCGCTAGGGAGTCTTACCCCGCACAAAGACCTGACTTCGGAGGTGGTGCAGGCGCTCTGACTCTGACCTGACTTCGGAGGTGGTGCAGGCGCTCTGACTCTAACCTGACTTCGGAGGTGGTGCAGGCGCTCTGACTCTGACCTGACTTCGAAGGTGGTGCAGGCGCTCTGACTCTAACCTGACTTCGGAGGTGGTGCAGGCGCTCTGACTCTGACCTGACTTCTGCCACGGCGGTCGTGAAGCCGACCCGTGGCTGACGGCCGCAGAATGCTGCCGGCGAGTCGAGTTGCGGTGGTTTAGGACTAAGCAATGAAAGAACAAGACAGTGCGGACCGCTGAGAGAGCTTTGCTTC